CGCGTCAATTTCGATTATGTCTAGCTTGCTGTTGTTGTGTTTGAATGTGCCACGAACTCGTTTGCTTCTAAGCCTATCTACATACATTGTCAACTCACTAAAAAAAAGGACCATTTCTGACATAGCAATACGACTATTTTCGTTGATACGGCTTCTCTGGTCATCAGTCGACGTTAGCACGTGAGGTAGCTACTTCGCACATTTGGTGACATCGACGACTAAGTCAGCGTACTTCTCTCCAGGCATCGTAAATTGAGAATAAAATTCTCGCTATTTAGCAGAAAAAGTGTCACTATCACAAAGTACACACAACGCACACCACACATTAGATCCTCAATCGCACAGCGAATTTGAAACTTATGCATTTCAAAAACAGATAGATAATCCCTTCAAGCCGTTCTTCGAGTATCGTAGTCGAGTTCTCGATAAATCGACAGATAACCTTTTAATACGAATGGGAAAAGAGGTTTCCAGAGCATTAATACCAGCATACGAACTGGATACTTTTCCTTGGCCTCCAGAGGCGCGGCGTCGCTATTCGTATCTGCGATGGCAAGGCGGTGCTCGATTAGCGATTGCGCCGGTCTCGATGTCGATGCATCCGAGCTCCGGCCTACGCCTATCAGGCGAGTGATGTGTGTAATGGAGTATGGTGCTTGTGGCAGGAAAAGCGAGCGGGGCTCCTTCTGAATATTTCTTGCTTTTACAGTGCGCCGCAGCTCGTGAGGATAAGGCTGTTTTGAGATTTTCCCCGGCAATTATTTGCTATTATTTTTCTCAACTTTAACCTCCTACCTCCACGAACATTTCAAAACCAAGATGAGGTAAATGCGTTTCAGCCGTTCTCGGAGTTTCAGCGCAAAGCAACGAACAGCAATTCACTTTAAGTAGATTATAGTATACATAGTATATATAGTATATAGTATCATAGTACTACTATATATATATATATATATATATATATATATATATATATATATATATAAGATAGATATTAAGTTGCATAATCTTTACAAACGTAACATAACCCATAATTATTACTTTGGTTTTTATGAAATTCATTTAATATGTTTTCAATTTTACACTCGGAACCCTTTTTTATTCTATTTAATTTTGTTCTATTAATATACGTCATATTATTACTTTTAAATAAGGTTTGATAACATCATCCTCACCAATCACATTTCACTTTTTTTTAAATAATTTTTTAAAAATAATATTTTTTTCAATTACGAGTTTATATAATAGCAGAATGTTTCATTAAAGATTTATCGACACACAAATTATGCGAATTATTAAACCTTCACCATTTTACATAAATTGGTTGGTACCTTTTTTTCTTAATAACTTTTCTATCAGATATATATCAGGATATTATGTTTTCTATAGTTCATATTTATAAAAAAACCTTGTATTGCTTCATATTTTTGATATTTCATTTCATAAGTGGTAGGATTAGAATGCAATATTCAAATAATATCAAATATTTCAGTACATCAATTTCCAGTATTCGATTTATCATATATAAATCTTGTGTACTTATTCTCACTTTATCTCCTGTTTTAAACATAGGTAGAATGGATGTTTTATCTTGTTTATAAGTCATTTGCAATAATATATTTCATTTTATTTATTAACATCAATAGATCTCGTATTAATAGTGAGATGAATTGTAGTATCATAATCATTTACAATTTCAAGTAAAATTTATAATTACCATTTAAATCAAATTTTTCCACAGTTTTTCTTTTAATATTCTATTCAATTTTTCTACAACTAAAGCTTTGTTTTGTAAGAAACTAGATCATGCTTAATATTAAATTTTCTTATAAGCGATTTAAAATCTTGATTTCAGTGTTGCAGTTACGTTTTTACCACTTTTATCTTAACAGGTATTGTCCATGCATATGTTGAAGAATCATCAATAATTACTAAAATATACTTAAAACCGTTTGCGTTTTTTTGCAATGTCCCAATGTATTTTACTATGTGACGCTGAGAAAATTCACGTCTCAGGTTAAGAAGACCGAAGTACGGCGTGGAGATGTCTACGTTCTAACAACACGTACCCCCTCAACCCATGGCCGCGTAGCAGGGACGTCGCCAGTAGACCTGAGCCCAGTCAAGGGCTGTCGCGGCAAGTACATATATATACAATTAGTTCTTTCATGAAGATTACGTACAGTTTTTAAAATGTTAGTAGGTTTAGCGTAATATTTAAACAACATATGCAATTAAAAAAGAACAATAACACGATTTTCTCAAATTCGTCTCCAAATTTTTTCTTTAAACTTTTAGTACGGATAGTGCCAAATGTAATCTATGAGGTGACATAAACGCCATTTTGATATATTTTTTAGTTTTTAAAATATTGTTGTTAGTATTATTATTATCCTTATTATAGCCCGTTACAATCCCGAAGAGGGCAAGAGCCTTCGATAACGGGTGGGTAACATAATAGTAGAATTACCGAGCACCCAATTTGGGAACCTCCTTCTACATACGCTGTTGTTGTTATTGTTGTTGTTATTATTATAGCATGTTACAATCCTGTAGAGGGCAAGGGTCTCCGATTGTCGGGTGGGTTACATAATGGTAGAATTCTCGAGCACCCTATTCGGGTATTTCCTTCCACATACGCTATTTATAGACAAAAATAAGGAAATGACAACGCTATTTACATACACTATAAGTAACACATCACTATGTCACTGTCAATAATTAAACATTATTTTCACACTGTTCACTCTCATTTCATTACAAAAATCGAATTAGCTATCGCTTCATCTCAATACTTTTTGCATTGGCACTTATTAAATTGGTGATAAATTGAACAATATAGTGTAGTACGTTCATTGTGTTGGATTTAGACATGACCTTCCACTTCTGACGAACCTTTGCCAAGGTAGACCATTGGCTGCCAAACAGCATCTTCAATTCATCCGACCACCTCTTCTGCCTGGCGACGTTTCTTATTCCAAGTCTTGGATCCCAAGCGGTAATTCGGTGAGACTAGGTATGAAAAAGTTGCATGATGTGAACTGCCCAACACCATTTCGTATGTCGAACAGTGGTTTCAACGTCATTGATTTGTGTTATCTTTCTTGTGTTTTCATTTCGTATTCTACTAAACGGAAAAATTGAAAGAGAATTTAAAAAAAATATAATTTGGTCGGCGATAGATGGCAGCTGGCAAGAGTATGGGGCAAAACCGTAAAGTCAGTCGAAACAAAGGAAATTAGAAAACTTTACTAAGAGAGGCTGTTACATTCTGTAGCAGAACTACTTTACTATATTTCACATTGCCTTTGTTTTGTTAATTGGGTTCAAATACATGATTTCAGCATGCCTTATGACTTTTCTTTATAATGATTTGAATTTTTGGGAATGCGGACGGAAACGAGATACGTTACGATGTTTAGAAATTAAAAAGAATTATATTGGTTTTAGACTATGCTCTAACGTCTCGTGTTAGGAAAGTATTGTTTTTCGTAAAATGTTTAATTTTTAAAGATGGAATTACGTATTAAAGAGAAACAAAATCGTAAATAAATGAATTTTATTTCCTGTTAGTATCAACATCATTGTATACCGCGTTCTATTATTTCTGCAGCCTGTAGTTTATAAATTATTATTTTTGGTATACCATCACTATTAACACCTTTTGTGTTGCAAGAAATCGTGCATAAATGGCCATTTTACGGCAAAAGTGATGTATTAGATTTTATGGTACGTATGATGGCATCATCACACATTCAGCCAATGGCAGTGAGAGAATCGTGGGAAGGTAGCGGTGAACGGAACAGCCGACCACCGTTTTCTGGCACAGAAATTAAATACTCGTGACATCACAAGACAGTTAGTTGGCAAAATTAAGTTCCTCTTATACATTTATAAAACGATACACGAAAAATAATGTATACAACTCGTTTATAATGTTGCTTTATTGCGTTCGTACAAATTTGAAAAGTTGCTCCTAAGGTCAATTCAAACCATGTACTCTTTCAATAAGCTTAAGATTAATTGCCTGAACTACTATTACTATACTATTGGTAAACAGCCTGCGCATACTGAGAGTATTATTTAATGTATAAGTGTTGGCGGTTTTTGTAGTTATACGAATTTGTACATAGTGATGTCTATATGCTAATTGCAACTTAATATCTATTAGTCATTTTTCTAGTTATGATTTGATCGATTGCCTTAATTGAAGTAAATGCGATCTATGAAGGTTTTAAATGTGGAATTATATGCGATCTCTGTAGGTAAAATGTGAACTTGAAGATATAATTAAATAATAGTTCAGCATAAATATTAGATTAACTGTAATTATTATTGGTTATATTTTCCGAAGCAAGATTAAAATATACAAAGAGAACATATATTATTTTTTTGAGGTTTTTTAAAGTGTAAGTTTTTTTCAACAATATAGTTGATCCGACTGGTTGTGATGGAATATCTTTACATGAAGCTACCGTCTCCTCTATGCTCTAGCGCTCTGGCAGATGAGTCATTTAGTCCATTCCTATTCTAAAATCTCATGTCTTTAAATAATTAGCGCTCTTTTAAAAACAAACTCCTTTCAATTTTCCACGTCTACAATTCTGGCGAAAGAAATACAAATTACTCATGTTTGGCTGTAATTGAAATGAAAATAATGAAAATCAATGCACAGATACCCAATTAAGCTGAATCTATTTAAATTTTGAGGTCTTCATATTCTCTTCTCTCGTTCTGTCCCGCTTAAAAATAAGCCCATCCGCCAGCCATCAAAGCTGACCGTGCAGCATGCGTTCCATAAGATGTTATGGGATTGGGAGGAAGATCCAAGCCAATGCATCTTTTGCCCAGCCACATAAAAAGTAATGTTGTTTAATGTAGGTTCTCTTTATTTCAATATAAAACAATTAAAATTAATGTAAAATGGTCCAGTGCGGTATTTCTTTGGCAAACTCCATGGCTTTTGTTATTTGTTTTCGTACCCTTTTGGGATCAATATCGAAAACTACCGTCCAGCCACCAGCCATTAAAGCTGACCAAGACCCAAATGTTCCATACGCAATTATGGAATGGTTGCAAGACGAAAGTAACACTAAATCATTCATAAAATATTCTGAGCCACACCAACTTACAACAGCATTCGTACCCAACAATTTTTTCGATTTTAAGTAATTTTCAAGCTGTGGTATTAAGTTATTTGTTGCCCAGTTCATATCGTCACTTACTACTGCAAACACTACTTTCAAAATGCCGTCCTCTCTCAAGCGTTTCAACATGTATTCCATTGCTCGCACATAATAATCCGTGTCTGCAAGTTCTCCCTCCTTCAAACCATATCTTCGTTCAAGGTACATTGGGTAATCAGTCAGACGCACGTGAACTCCAACGTACGAAATCTGCAAACAAATAAAGACTGTGTTAAAGAGCGCAAATCGCCCTCCTTCCTTCCATACATCTTAAAAGTAGTTCCGCTCCTTGAAAGATTTCCGCCCTTTTTATGTCGCTTGTCTTATCTCCAAGTACCAAGATAATTAATAAAAATAAGATCAAATAAACCGTCGTTTTACTTTCTCGTATACGTATGTATCTTGGGAGTACTGCACAAAGTATAAAAACATTATGTAATTTTTTATCACTTAATTTATGATTGTCTGTAATACATTTTCTTAAAATGGAATATATAATTACAATTTGTTTTAAAAGATGTAAATGGAATGAATAAATAATGACAATTTGTTTTTAAAAACATGTATGTTACTTTCTCAAAAACAAAAAAAACTGTCTTAAAATTGGATTCGGAATCTTTATCAAAAAATACATTATGTAATTTTACCGAAATCGATTTGTTTTTTGGAAATACACCTTTTCGATCCCTTGATTTTGAATAAGTGTATTTCATGAAAACAATTATATCGGTTCGTTCTTAGCGAAGTTAATTTAATGATTATCTTTGGTCCAAAATTGGTCCGTTCATGTATTTTACGTTACGATGTCATGACTTTCGGTGACGCATCCAGACCTGGCAGATAATGTGGGTATGGTGGGTAGCTATAGCCACACGAAAAATTCCGTGTGGGTAAAGTACTCTCTCGGAATTTCGGACTTACGTCGATTTAAAGCTTATATGCGATCAACTAACTTGCAAGATCAGTGTTCTCGTAGTGCATTGTACGTAGGTCGTTCTGAAAGTAATGCCTGACAATTTTTTTGAGCTTATGACCTTCTCGCCTTTTTCGTTTAATTTTCGTACCCTTTCCACTCGCAAGATAGAAGCACAGTGAAAGCTGCCAAAATAGCGTGTAACGTGAAAGCGCGTGAGAAACACAGATATGAAATTGTATTTCTTTCTTCGGAGGAAATCGCGCCTACTGACATGAGTGACGTGACGTGAGTACGTGAGTGGACGTGAGTACAGTGCGGAGATGGGTAGTGCGTTTTCGTGGTGGTGACAGCGACGTGAAAGACAAACCACGTTGCGGTTGGCCACACACAGCTGCCACACCAAGCAATGAGGAGCGCCTCGACCAACTTATTCGCGCGAATAGGCGCATCACGTCTAGGGAATTGTGTGCGGCTATGAGCAATGTCTGCAATGCATTAGAAATTATGCTCAGTAAATTAAGCTACCGGAAATTGTGCGCAAGGTGGGGCCGGCGAGCACTAACAGAGGAACACAAACTCCACCGAATGGAAGGTTGTGAGGAACGTTTGGCGCAATACTATGCTGAAGGTGACGGGTTTCTGGACAGAATAAACCCTAGTGACGAGACATGATGTCATCATTATGAGCCATAAACCAAGAGACAGTCCATGGAATAGCGCCATAAGAATTCCCCGACGAAGAAAAAATTCAAAACCCAGTCTTCAGCGGGCAAACTCATGTGCACAATCTTCTGGGATAGGAGAGGGGTAATCCTTATGGACTTCCTGGAAAGTGGTCGAACAATTGACTCCGACCGGGATATTCAAACTCTGACCAAACTGAAAAATCGCGTTTCAAGAGTTCGGCCAGAGAAGAAAACAACTTTTCTCTTGGAACACGACAATACCAGACCTCACTCCAGTCTCAAGACCACGAACCAAATTGCCAAATTTGGCTGTACTGTTTTACCACACCCACCACACAGTCCGGATTTGGCACCTTCAGACTTCAACTTGTTCGGGCCAATGAAGGATGAATTGCGGGGACGTCGATTTTTTTTTACAACGGCGCTGTCGAACATCTGTGCGTCAGTGGGTGCTGTTGCACCCATCCTTTATTGGGTCTGACAAAATACAGGAAGTCAGGTGAGACGGGGCAGCCACGAGCAGGGTGTGGTTACAATACATTAACACATTTTTCATACAGACAACGACAAACAACACACATTTCAAACAAACGTTTATATGTATAACATTTAATTCAATTCGATTATTTTAAATCTCAAATTATTATTATTATTATTATTATTATTATTATTATTATTATTATTATTATTATTATTATTATAATTCCTCTCTTAATCCACGCATGATCATCGTTTGTCCTCATGTAAAATTAATCCTAATTTATTTGAACAAGCGTTGACCTTCTTACAGAGTTCCAGTTTTAATAAACTTTCCCCAATGTCACTTTCCTGTTTATCTGCCGATTCTGCACCCTTGACTGTCGTAACCAGTTCACTCCGTCACCATCTTCATAATTCCACACACGAAAATATCAGTGTTGACACACATACACACACACATATGTATTATATATACATTCCCTGACCAAATTATTAGACGCCCTCCAAATTTTTAACAAAATGTTAAGTTTTGAAGTCTCTCACTGTAGTACATTACATCTGGCATTTGCGAATCAATCAATAAAAACAAAGCTTCTTTTTCTAATAATTAACAC